CTCTCCTTGTGCCTGCAAAGAAAAGAGACTTCCAATCAGGTTTGACAGTCATTACCTCCTGCCAAAGCCAAACGCCTCGAACACCTCTTCATGTTTATGCCACGCTGCCTAAAAGGAACTCACCTGTGTTTTTGGATTCCTCCTCCATTCTGTGCTGCTCGCCTCCAGAAGACCTGTAAGACAAGAAACACTTTGATTAACATTCAAACCATCTCTGAAAAGAGACTGAACCTTTCAAAATACTCACCTCATCTCCTCATTCCCTYACAGCTGATGACCCACTACCCTACACCTGTAAATAAAAAGCACTTACCTTTTTATTCCTGTCTCCGGGTCTGGTTCTTAGTTCAGCTGACTGTTGAACAATTTTGTAAATCATATCAGACTCTGGTTCTCTCGATTTGGTGAAAGAACCATCAGTTTAATCCCTAGATGGCTTTAACAAGTTTTTTTCTCTTGTTTATTTTTACAATGAAGAACACCCGTGGAGGAAAACTTAAATCCAGGYCTTTTTTTCTTGGTTGTCYACCGGACAACCGGGAGGCGGGATCTGGTTGTCCGAAACAAAAATAGGTTGTTTCGGACAAACTAAACAATGATTGTGTCAACCCCTGTTTTACATTGAATAAAAAATAAACTTCATTCYGAAAGTGTGGCGGCTTTTATTTAGCTGTGGCGGTGCGCCACGATCAATTACATGTAGGGGAAACCCTGAAAGAAGAACCCATCCAGAGGACCTGACTCAACTTGTTGGGTTTCTCTAACTGGATTAAGTCTAATTAATGCCAAGTTTTAAACAAAGATCTATTAGTACACAAAGTACAATGAGTGTTGCAGATGACTTTAAGCAAAAAAGAATTGCTCAACATGTCCTGATGCATCTCAGTAATCCAGGTAGAAAAAATCAAAAAGAATATGCTCAATATACAATATGTAAAATTAAAGGAGTAATATGTGTTTCTCAGATATTTCAATTCTATACCATAATAAAGTGACTACCATAAGTCTCCTTCAGTTGTTATTAAAATGCTGTTTATATGTTTAAATCAAAAATAAACTTGACTTCTCATCATATCTGTTTCTAAACGCCTTGAAATTGGCCTCTGTCTCTTTTAGAACCTCCTTCCGCTTCTGTCCCGCCCATTTCAGCACAGGCCGGGTCTGTGTGTGCTCTGTGATGAGGAAGCTTGGTTCAGAGACAGCTCAGAGTAGGAGTTGATCTCAAAATGCGGTTCTAGGCCCAACTGGTCATTTTTGCTGCCCTGCCTGGCTGCCTCAGGACACTACAGCATTTCTYAAACATGCATGAATGAGTCAAAGCAAGACTCTGTGTATATTTTTGATGAGAGGATAACATTATAAGATGATATAAAGCTCAAAAAAGTTGATTTTACATGATATTGCCCCTTTAAGAAATTTATAACCTTTTTTTGTTTAGTGAAGGCCCTGTCACACCATATTTTAGACAACTTGTGAAAATTTTGTCACAACTAAATTATTCACATAGGTTATATATTCAATCTAATTGTTAGAATTAAAGCATATACATGTGAGGATCTGTGTTTTTCATCTTTCAATTATTTCCAATGTTTCCTCTRTGTTCTTCCCCAGCTCCTCCCATGCACACCGAATTCTTGTGTTTCTTCCCCAGGTGTCAACACTTGTATTCTCGTTAACTCACCTTTATATTCTGTTTCACGTCTTCACTCCCCTGTCAGTTCAATGTACGTCCTCACGTCAGTTTGTGTTTACTCTCTGAGTTCCTCTGTGTTTTCTGTAAGTATGTTTTGGTTGCTTTGTCAGCTGTTGTTTTTGTAAATAAATCATTTTTGTTTTTGGATCTTGAGCTTTGTCTGCTTCCTGGGTCAAACCACTCTCAAATCTTAACAGTATGCATCCGAAAGGGCCTTTCAGTGTTTTTTTCTCTTTTTTTCAATTCCATCTTCAGCCTAGATATCTTCAGTGTTGGACAAAATTTTAAAAAGCTGTCTAAAACATTATAATGTGAGGTTGCCTTGAGGTTTTGACTCMCAAAGTGAATCAATTATAGATGTCCTACTGTGATTACTTTGGGAAAGATTTATTGGAATGTGTTCTGTCCTTTGCTAACAGACAGAACACATACACAAATGGAGAATAACAATGGACCAAACAGTGATCCTTGTAGAACTCCAAAAGTACAGGCACACAGTGACAAAAGTGAGTTTCTGTACCTTTTTTATTTGCTGTATATTTACTGTATCTACAAACCAAAGATCTAAAACCAAAAATCAAATTTTGATATACGTTTTAAATTTTGTCTAAAAAAATCAGTATTGATGGCAGAACTCTGTCGCAAAGAGCTTCTTTCTGCTACACAAATCACAATATCCACATACTTCAAGCATTAACTGCCTTAGACTCAACATATTTTTTTGTATCAGATCTGACACTTGCACATATCCCTTCTAAATTTTAGGGGGAAAAAACACATTTTTGCTCATAAAATACAACACATATATGAGTTTGCAAGCCAATTAAATGGCAAACCCCAGCTCGTTAACTAGCACTTTAACAGCTGTAAATGTCTCTTCAGTGTACATTAGTTCTACAGGCTGTGGTCATGCTGCCAATAATAGTTTGCTTGTGATGTTTATTTGCTTTCTCTCCAGTTCCCATTCCATTTATTTATTTATTTATTTATTTGTTTATTTATTTTGTCTGAAGTACATTTTTTGCAAATCTAACCTTAAAAAAATCATGTTCCAAACCTAACTTAACTCCAATTTACCACTTTTCACAGCCAGGTTGGTTTAATTCAATCCTAACTATCTGCACAATTTGGAAAAGTGTATTTTTTAACATCTTTAATATCTTTTTCTGACTGAATATTGAAAGGCTGCATCTTTTATAATGGTTATAGCAGTGCATAATAGCTCATGAGATGCTAAGTACTCTTGCCTGTCAAGATAAAAATGCGGTGTAGGGATTTTTTTTTTTCAAACTTAATTTGCAAACAGAAACTAGACACACTTCGAAAACAAGTTGTGTGAATAACTCATGCATAATCTTTGGAGAATGCATGTTGTGTTAGATGTCTAAAAATTGCTTTCAAAGACAAATGGAAGGCAGGATTTAAAAAAAAGAAAAGCCTCCATCTGTTGAGAAATCTAATTTTTCATTAAACATTTAACAGTCTGGGAATTATATCTTTCCCCATCAGCAATTAAACCGCTCATGTATCCTTCTGCATAACAATTAGCACTCCATGGTCAATTTTTATTTCAGATTCATGCACAGTTGATTGTATTTTCCTGAAGTTGGTGAGAATAAGCTGTCAATCTGCTGTGTTGTTTGCATTCTCAGTTTTTGTTAAATATCAGAATACATCATTTGAAATGTAAATTTGAAACAGAGAATGAGAAAATGAAATRCATTATAATAGAGCTGCAGCATTTTAACAAAGATTGGCATGCTACATTGACTAAAAAAGGAGTTGAGCGAACATTCTCTCTTTCTGATTTTAGATTCTAGTCCATGTCGGCTTCCTGACGGAGGAGTCTGGAGATGTGTTCAGTCCCAAGGTGCTGAAGGGAGGTCCTCTGGGGGAGATGGTGCAATGGGCCGACATTCTCACTGCTCTACATGTGCTCGGACATGAAGTCAAGATCTCGGTTTCTCTGAAGGAACTGCATGGGTAGGAATAGTTTGAATTATCCCTCTAGCTGCCATTTATTGACTGAAAATGCTTTGCTGTTCATGCTGAATCCTTTGTGAGTTATCAGGAGTTTTACTGGGGATTTTTATTGTTGCACATAGTTTTTTTCTTCTGCTGAAATTTGTTTAATATGATATTTCAGATTTCTTGAAGTCAGGTTATATGCAAAGTTTTACATGCTATAAATAGTTCTTTGAGTGACCTTAGTTTGAACAAAGATTTTTTTGCGGAACAAGAGCATGGTTCTTCCATAAGTGAAATCAATACCAAAGGGGATTGCTGACATCTTAAATGAACTCMAAGTGTAACCATTTATATGAACGTTATTCATCAAACTTTACACTGCTGTTACTTTCACATTATATTAATATTTACATTTTTGGTTACTTGTAAACACAAATAGTGGCTGCAGCAGGTAGCTGAAACACTTCCATTAAAACCTGAAGCACTTTCAAAAGAAATATCTGTATTTTTGTTGTAATAAGCATGTAATTCCTGTGTCCCTGGGTCAGCTAAGTCTAGTCTTTGGCACAACTGTTCTGTCACATTAACACAGTCAGTATGCTGCCCCTGGAACTGACACAGATGAAAAGTGTAAGATACATATTTAAAATACCTACAAAAGATAATATCTGTAAGCGATGAGGACAGTTCTGAAGTGTCAGTGAAAATGAGGTAAGCATTAGTTTTGAGATTGTATTTGAAATTTATTGCAATAAGTTAAGTTGATTTTGAACACCTTACTTGGTTTTGTCTTTCTTCTAAATGAGACGGGGTGTCCAAGGAGGAGAGGARAAGGTTCCGGTAGAGAGTGGGCAGGCAGGTGAGTAACAGGTAAGTTTTTTGTTCTTTGCAGGAACGATGATGTAAGGATGCATCCACAGAGGAGATCCAAGACAACAGAGAACATGGAGCAACAAGAGTAGAGGATCAATCCAACCACCCTAATTTATGAGAACACTTCATGAGGAACAACAACAAAAAACATCAAAGTATTTACGTTTTCTGGGCATTTTAAGCCACACATTAAAGTGATTCGACTGTAATCACTGAGGTGATGGCAGGATCAGGTGTTGAATGATAGTCAGAGTTAACCCTAAGTAGCTGAAGGGTGAWAAGAATATTGGCAACCAGTGAGAACTGGAACAGGATCTGAGTTGATGCCAAGTAATGCGGAGCAATGGTTCAGTTGTCCTACAGCTCCTCCTATGGGAAAATTGATCAAAAAAGGAAAAGATAAAATGGAAACCTTCAGGAATCCCAACAGTAATGTGGTAAGCTCACTAAAAAGGTTCATAAAATAACATCTACATGAAACACTAAAATATTTTTGAGATTGGGGYTGTTTTAATRTAATAAATATTCACATTGTGTTGGCCTTGCCTCATAAGTCTGGTCAGAATYCAACTCAGTTTCTTCAAACTGAGGCTGTTCAAAGAGCTGTATACAAAATGTAAGGTAATATACGTTCATAACCTTTTCACTGAATTCCATGAAAAACCGAACAGTTCCTCTAAGCCTGAGAACTCCTCTTCAGATTCTGCACTGACCTCTGAGAGAGAACAGGCTTATCTCTACTCTTTACAAACACAAGTGTTAATACCATTGAGCATATTTGCATGTGTGCACAGTGTGTCTAGCAGAGACAGAGTTGGTTTTATTAAAGAAAAATACTTTTTTTCTCACATAGGTGCAATCAAAGGACTTCACAATATTAACAGGTCTGGTATTGTACTTTTGCTCTGTTCCGTGATCTTTCAAAACTGGTCAAGAAAATGGCTGTCTACGAGACAAGATTTGATGTCCACACCTTTCTTTTTTTTATTTACCAGCAACTCTGAAGCTGACAGGGTGGTAATAATGTGCCCTGGTTATTGAGCACTTTATCCATTGCTGCAGGAAAAGAGATGTGGGCATTGATGAGTTAGTGTTGCCCTTTGATCTTAAATTTCTGGCCTTGAAGATAAGCTGTTTTGATAAGACTAGCTCTGGGGGAGTTCAGTGAGGTGTTGAAGCCACAGTGGGAGCGCTTCTCACTGGCTGTGCCATTATTTACTCGTCTAATTGGTGTCGCAGTGTACTGAACCGCTGCAGCCTGTCTCCAATGGGGGACGCATGAGAAATTTTGTGCGAAATTGCAGAAGTTTAAAAAAAGAGGGGCACAAACGTACGTTGGCCAAAGTTTAAGACTTACCCTTTCAAAGAATTGTATGTGTAGTTTGTCTTTGTGTGTGCACATTTTAAGAGCTTATTGAAGGAGAAACGTTCAGCTATCAACCGTTTGGGTTTTTAGAGGCGTTGCAGCRTAACATGAAGACAGATATTGGACTCATGGCCAAATAAAATGTTCAGCCTTTCAGAAAATGTAACAGATTTTGGAAATAGATTTTTTTTTCACTCTGTGACTAGGCCTGTCACAATAACAAATTTTGCTGGATGATAAATTGTCTCCAAAATTATTGCGATAAACAATAATATTGTTTAGAGACCATTTTAAACGAATATAATAATCCGTCCCACCATCTTACAGAAGTTTATGAAATGTACGTACATAAAAACAATAAAATAAAAGTAACTGACGTGTACCTGAGAATGGGAAAACAAGACACATAAACATCGCTACCCACCTCTAACCAAGCTGGTTACGAAATCATGACCCTGAAAAATACCTGACACGAGAGTTCRCTAATCCCTACGCTAAGGTGTAGAAAAGAGGGAGACACGAAGAAAACAACGAAGTTGGCAAATGAAAATTATCAACCTCATTTTATTTTATCATGCGATTAATTGATTTAGTGCTTATTGTGACAGACCTAGCTGTGACCACACCCCCAAMCAACAACATAAAAGCCCAGCATTAAGAAATAATTCTTCTTAAATACCTATCACGCCTTGAAGGAAAGCATATAGAGTTGTAGGATTACGTTATGTATTAAATATTGAGAATAACACAGAATCTCATGCAAAGTTGCAATTTTTTGCAGGGTTTGAGTATTTGTTGGGTTAAACTCTCAGGTCCTACCACACAGGATTTCAGCTCAGTGTCTGTAAAGTGGACAGAGTTGTAGTCATGTATTGTTGGCATAGGTTAATACACCATAGCGGCCAGGTCACAGGGGATAAACCATGAGGCTGCTACKGTAACACAAATGGAAATGAACAAATTCAACCCGTAAATACAGACCTGTTGAATTTGCTCTAAACTGATTCATGTAAAACTTTCCTTTAAGCTCATAGATTTAGATTTTTCTCATCTTTCAGTTATAAAGCTGCTGAGCTTGTTTTGATTGTGTTTTTTTTGCCACAGTTGAAAGTATGTAGATACTAACTACGTATTTCAAATTTATTCTTCTTWTCCGCTCTAATCCACATCAATGAACTGAACAAGATATTCAAATATTTGAATATTTTAGCACCTACCGATACCCACTATCAAMTTTACTAAATGATCCAACAGTTAGTTGAGAATTGTTTCTGTCCATACTGAAAGACTAAACAATGAAATTACATATAAACAGTATAATGTACGTATATTATTGGTATGAAATTATATTAATCAAAATTATGTGATAAAGTTGTCACAAGTTACAAAAATATTTTTTACAAATAAAAACTTCCAGTTACACTTTCTGTTATAGACTCCTTGCTTGTAAAAAGTCTTACCATGTATTGACATTCCAACATTTCATCTGATCCAATGTTTTCACTGCCAGAATTCACAAACAGCTTCAGATAAATGGAAATTGTTGCATGTGTTAAATTTATTARCGATGCAGGTTTGTTTATACCAATAAGCCTCTGTTCTGTACACAATGCCGTGCACACAGAAAACTGCAAAACGATCTGTTATTTGTAACAGCCATATTGAGTTGGGTTGACTTCAGAATCTAATCAGTTGGAGATGCAATGATTACTTTCATTGAATACTTTCAGAGACACTGGTAAAAACATTATTGCCCACCTTTCACCTTTTGGATCAAGCAATAAATATCCACAAGTCCATTTCTTATGAATAATAATGAACAGATAAAAAAAAAAACAGACCTCTCCGTCCTTTTTCTCCCACACTATATGAAATTGACAGTTCRTTATGTGGGTTGTGCTTCCACAGATACCCTCAGGCTTGCATCTATTTACATTTCCTACCCTTCGCTGTTCCACGCAGGCTTTCGAAAGGAGCTTCATATCGCTGCACGGCCTGCTGTGGTGTTTATGCAGGCAGGATTGTTGAGGAGTTCAGCATTGTCTCTCATTGACAGAATGGCCACACTGGGAATTCTTTTACACTGGGAGWGTAGCTGCTGAGCCGAAGAGCGTAATTGCTTCTGATTGGCAACATTCATTCATTTAGGTGGTTCCTATTAGTGGTCGCTTAGGCCTGTGTTTTATTTCTTTTTACAGTCAAAAGGCTACTTTAATATTGAGGAACTGCAACTATTCTCTTGATGGATCCTTCAAGTTTATGTTTTAAAGCCAGTAAAATAAAACACATGGAYGAGCCATGCCTTGGTTCCCTCTATACATGCCTGCAATAAATTATAAGCTTGCCATTCCTGGCTCTGGCTGTTCAATCTARTATTATTTTTGCAATAAATCTTTCTGCACCAAAGAAGATGAGATCACAAAGAGATGTCTCAAAGAGTGAAAGTGTTTTTAGTGAACGATTGTGACTGTTCGTTTTGCTTAGAAAATCAATTTAGTCTTGCAYAAGTAAGCATAACCATGTCATTTTATGCACATGACATTTACCAACATCAGTGAAGGACTTTGTACCTGAAACTGTGTGTTGTGGGATTTTGGGTTAATTGAGATTTGAGGAGCACTACARAAATTTAGAAGCAGTTATAGTAGCCAAGACTCATACTTATGCAGCAGATCAATCTTTGTTGTGCTGAAAACGTTCAGTGGCAGCTCAAATTAAGATTATAGTTGACGAGCTAAAAACGACCTAATACAGATATGAGGATGGAAAATATAAA